CCTCCACAGGAGCAAGGGGAGGGAGAAGGATCCCCGAGAAGGTCAAAACGAGGAGCCCTGGGCTCCCACTCCCCCAAAACCTGCACTCTTTATTCAGATGTCAGGTTCTTCCATTTGCGTCTCCCACCACCAATGCCTCCCCACTTCCCAGCCCCGAGCTCCCACTCACCCCTCAAGGCCCAGTGCAAAGGACCCCTCTACTGAATCCTAGGTTTCCCCACGCGAGTCATGCACGCGTCACCCCAAGTCATTATGGGCCTCTTCCGGCTGGTGTACCTGTGTCCCTCGATTTACCTGAAGGCAGGGGTGGGGCTGATACCACCATGAGCTTGTCACAGACGCATCATCTGCCTTCCGAGTTGTTGCATGAAAGGGGTGGGCAGAGGCACGGAGAATTGCTGGGGCGAAGCTTCCGAACACCTGTCTCCTGGCACGGTGGCACCCATCCATCTCCATCCCCCCACCCCAGCGGGCCCTATCACCTGCTCACCGGCGGGACGTGGGCAGCAGCGACGCGAGTGGGTCCGGGCGGCGGGGACATCGGACCACTCTCCAAGGCCAAGCCAGGCGAGCAGGGCAGCCGAGCGTACCGGGGCGTCCCCGCACAGCCTACGGCCGGGGGACTCGCGGGTCGCGTGCTAATAGTCCCACTTTCCCACGGTGGTGGCTGAGCTCCGAGAGCTACCGCGACCCACTCCGGGCCTGGGCAGCGCCAGAATCGCGAGGCCTCCACCGACCGGAGGTAGCACCGCCTCTGGTCTGGCGGTCCAGGGGCGCGCCTGGCCCCGCCCCCAGAGTCCCCGCCCCGGAGCCCCAAACCTGTCCAGCGCAGCGCGGGCCGGCGCCGGGTGGAGAGGCTCCGAGCTGCGCCCCGAGCTGCACGCGGCGATCTCCGGGCCCACCATGGGCAACAGCGCGGGCCGCAGCGACTTCGAGTGGGTCTACACTGACCAGCCGCACACGCAGCGCCGCAAGGAGATGCTCGGTGAGCGCCCGCGGGGGGCCAGAGGGCACTGGCTTCCCCTGCTCCGGGGGGCGGCAGCGCACCCCTCCCCCAGCAATCCCAGCCCCCGGCATCCCTGGCCCGGGGCACCGGGGGGTCCGCGCCGCCCCGGTCTGAACTCCCCTGCGTCTCCGCCTCGGTCTTGGCACCCAGGACCCGAGGCCCCGAGCCCGGACCGGTGCGCTGGGGAGCGCGTCTCGGCTGCTCCCGGGCGCGCCCCTGGGAAGAACCTGGGCTCTGGGACGCGGCGGCGGCGCAGGGCTTGGCCCCGGGGGACCGTCCCCGTGCGGGACGCCGCCCCTGCCAGCGAAGGCGGCTCGGTGGTCTCCCCGAGGCCGTCGAGCCCACCGAGTGTAGAGAGAGCAGACGCCTCGAAGGAAGCAAACGCAGAACCAGAGAGACAGCTATTTTCTAAGACAAAGATTGTAGCAAAGAACCCCGCCGTCCTTCCCGGTACGGTACGGCTTAGCGCACGGGGCTCCCCTCTCTGTGGGCGGGTTCCTCTGGACCCAGGATTATGGATAAAGGGCTTACACCTCCAAAACAGCTTTTACTAGGAGCCACCAAGTGGCCTCCACAGCCCCAGGTAGCTTCCAGCAGGCTGGCCCTGCTCCTGCCTCTCCCCCGCCCCCTCCCCCCGCCCCGCACCTACACCTGGGGTTGGCAAAGCTTTTTATCGTTGCCGGTCAGGCCGATGAAGCTATACTGTTTTGCTGTGGGTTTAATTTACATTTCTTTGATGATTTGTTTCCATGTTTAACTGGCATCTAAATCTCCCTTTTCCCTCTTGGGTTAGTCTTTTGCTTGTTGATTGTTAGAGTTCTTTATTTAGGCTGCTTTTAACCCTTTGTCTTCTATGTTGCAAGTAATTTTCTTCTTTATAATTAGTTTTTTGCTATCACAGAAACTTTTTAAAATGCATTTGAATCTATTGGCTTTTTTCTTTAGAGTTTTCCCTTTGGTGTCTCCATGCTCCACCCTAAGGCTTGGAAATATGCCTCCTATGATTTTTAAACCTTTCAGACACTCGATGTATTGAGTGGTTGGTCCATGACTGTATCCGGCTGTAGCCGGGGGAGAAGGGGCTGGAGACACTTGGGTGGGTTTGTGACTTTTGTGGTTTCCTCCTGTGAGGAGAGCAATAACCCAGCATTATTTGTGATCTCACCTGTGGCAGCAACCTCTGCACCTGTGAATTTCCGGGGAGGGGAGGGGTGTGGAGGGAGGGGTCTTGGTGATCATTTGCTCCTCCCTCCCACCAGAGGGCAGGCATCTCGGCCGCTGCCGCCTGGCAGGGTCCAAGGCAGAGCTGCACTTCATCCTCCTCCTCTTGCCGTTCCCTACCTTCCCCTTACTAGACTCACTGGGCACCTGGCCCCGGGTGGAAAAGTCTGGGAAACATACCATGGCCCACGGAGCTTCCTGGAGGGATGCATACACTCTGGCCTGCAGCCTTACTTTTCCAGTCTGCAAAACGGGCACAGTCACCCTTGTCTAGCATGGGCATGAGGATGAAAGGCAAGCTTGGAAGGGAAGGTGTCCAGAGTGGTACCCAGAGCCCAGGACACGGAGAGGGATCTCTCTAAAGAGAGAAGCCACAGGACTTGGGCCAGGCTGCGGACCAAACAAATTCCCAAGGGCCGATTCTCCAGGGAGCCTCGCTCATTCCCATTTCCACCGGGTGCTGTGAGTTCCTCCCCATGCATCCAGTTTGGAGAGGGCGGACTTGGAACGTACCATACTCCCTCCCTCCTTGGCATTTGCTCACCTGCCTGAGTGTCTTTCCTCCTTGCCCTGCTCAGTGGCACTCGCTGAGGTCCACCTCCTGTGGGAAACCCTCCTGCTGCCCTTGCAGACCCTGCTGGGCGAGGCGGCTCCTCTGGAATTTTCCCTCGGTGGCTCCCACCCATTGGCTTCTCTGTCTGGGGCAGGCTGCAGGGTCCAGGGCTGGGGTCCTAAGCCGGCCTCCCTGGCGAAGCCCTCAGCACTCACTCATTAGCCGTGTGACCTCAGGCAAGTCAATACATAGATGAGCAAATTGAGGCCGGTGGAGTTAAAAGGGGTTAATTGTAGCGCTTCCTGTATGGGTTGCGCAGATGAAATGAGGCAGTGTTAAGTGCTTAGTAACGTGAGTCTCCTGATAACTATTACCTCCTGCAGGCAGGCCCTTGTTCCCTCTCCAAGGGCAGGAAATAGCTTCCTGCCTCCATTCCCAGCCTGAGAGAAATCCTACCTGTGACTGCCAACCAGAAGAATGGAATGCAGAGAGGGGAGGCACCTTGCCTAGGGCCACACAGCTCTGAGACCCGCAGAGGCCAGGCTGGCGTTTGTGTGAACTCCTGGTGAGGATGTGCCGCGGCCCCACCCAGGTGGCTGCTGTGCTCCTGCCAAGCTGCTGGAGGCCAGTGGATGCTCAATAAAGATCCTTATCTTGGAGTCAGGGTCCAGAAAGTTCTCGCGGAGGGTTGGCTGCAAGTTCTTTGGGCAGTACCGAAGTCCATCTGCAGCTCATGCCTGCATGGGGAGTGTGGGGTCCTACGGCAGCCTCTGAGAGCCATGTCTCCCAGGCCAGGTGCTTCCTATATCGCAAGGGCGGGAACAGATCCAACGGGAGTTTGGTGCCATCGAGACCAGAGTCCAAGCCAGGCGTGGCCCTGCTCTAAGAAGCAGGCTTTGGATTTGTCTTTTCAAAAACAAATACCTTTGTGATTTCGTTTGTTTTTGTTCTTATGAAAATAGGGCTCATACATGTTTTTAAAAAAGTTCAAATAATTAAAGGAAAACAAAAGAGGAAAACAAGGAAGTAAGACTCTTGGCAGTGGCTGGGTTATTTGTCTAGGAAAGGCCCTGGCTGGGGCTCTCTCAGTGGCAAGTGGGAAAATCCAGAACAGAACAGACCAGGCTGACGCTACAGGGGATTTGCGGACCCTCTTCGTCCAGCCTCAGAGACGCGGCTCCAGGTGAGAGCACTCACTGTCTGAGGCCCTCCTCCCAGCTGCAGTCAGCATGGGGGCCCCGCCCCCCTCTTCCAGGTGGGCTGCGGGCAGTGCCAGGCCTGTGTCCACCTGGCTGGGAGATCCCACAGAAGACAGAGGGGTGCCTCCCGACCCTCCTGCCCTGAGTGGCGTGCCCTCCCCTGGAGCCAGCCAATCACTGACCAGAGCTGTAAGTCCCGCGATTGGCGAGTGGGCAGGGTCAGTAACGGGCAGGGTCAGTGACCGGCATGGGGAGGGCAGAGAGAAGGCAGGCAGCTCTCCAAGAGAGGGAAGGGAGGCCAGGGTCTTAGGTTGGGTGGGGCTGGGTGAGGGGTGCTGAGTGCTTAGGCTCACAGCTGCACAGACACTGGGTGATCCCTAAGGGGTCCCCCCCGGGCCCTGTCTGACCTGATTATGTCTTCCATGCTCCAATCCTCCGAGGACCGGCCTTGCTAAAACCCCACTCTCTGCCCCGGCCTCCTGGGCACGCCAGGCTCTGGCCCCCACCGGATCTCCTTACTTTTCGCTCTGTAGCCACTGCGTGGAATGCAGCCCCATTTCCTACGTCATGGCTTTTGCGAATGCTCTTCCCTCTAAATTCTTTCCCCTGCTCCTCATCTACCGAACTCCTGTGGGTCCTTCGGGTCTCTGCCTAAGTGTCCTTTTTCCAGAAACACTCTCTCCCCCTCCCCCCACATACACATTGTATGCCAGTTTGATGTTAAAGGATCGAATCTCCAGAGGGGACCAAAAACCCTGATCTGTAAACATTTCCATCATGGCCAACCTAGTGACCAACGTGTGTCATCGCTGAGCATGAACTTGGCAAGAGGGGAGCATATTGCGTGCTTGCTGGCCTGCTGGCAGGTGTGACTTGATGAAGACAGAGCCCCCCCATGTTCCCCCTTTTTTTTCCCCACCAAGCCCCGCCCTCCTCCGTGCTCCTGCAGGGGCCGGCCCTTTTACCCAGAGGCCTTTGCCCTACCAGTCATCTGCCTTGTTTCCTGGGGTGATTGCTTTAACCCGCTGGCTCCCCCGCCTCCGAGTTCCCCCTGGGGCAGGGCCCGGCCCCCCTTCTTGGCAGCAGCTCCCGCTCCGGCTCCCCAGAGGTGAGACGTGCCCTGGGCAGCGGGCTTGGACGCTGAGCTTCCTCCCTTGGCCAGCGGTGCTGGGCGCGCAGCCCCAGCCCCGCGTGCAGGTTTCACCCTTGCTGAGTGGAGAGATGTTCTAGGTGGCATTTCTAAGCCGCTTTTCCTTCTTTGATCTTCCTGCTTGTCTTGTGAATTTTCTGCTCATGCCCTTGGTTCCTCTCCATCGGAGCTGTCCTTTTTCTTGATTCGCGAGAGCTTTGTGTGTGTGACTTGTGGCAGCCCCGCCTTGGCCACAGGTGACCTTCCCCGGGCTGCCCTTTGTTTTCCCGTTTGAGTCCTTTTTTCTGTCCTTTCTCTTCTTCCCTCAGGACCCTGACTCAGTGCTTCCCCGTCTGAGCCTCTGTTCTCCCCTTCTCTCTACCCAGGACCTGAACAGAGCCACCACCTGTCCTCAGGTGCTGCCTGACACATGGCTCGAGGCAGGTGCCAGCTCACATGTCCCTTTCCAGCCTCCGTATTGATGGGCGTGCTGTGTCTCGCCTGGCTTCTTATTCCCTGTTCTGTAATTTGTAACCGCTTTTACGAGGCATGATTTACATATCGTAAAATTCAGGAATTTTAAAGTCACAGTCCAACAATTCTTAGTGAAGTTACATAATCCGATTTAGAGTATTTCCATTACCTGACAAAGATCCCTCTGACCACATGGTCACTGCACAGCCCCACCCCGTGTTCTCACACCCAAACCCTTTATCCTGTGAGTTTTAGCTGGGCTACCACGGGACGTCGTGTGTGTGCGCTTCTCTCGGCACGTTCTAGCCGGGACACACTGCGCCCCCGCTCAGCCTGGAACCCCTCCCATCTCTGTGATCTGCGGCCTGGCTTTCACAGACCTTCTGCAAATATTTGTCAATGAACAAAAAGCAGTTTTAGAGAGAGGCAGAGAAGAGTGACTCCTGAAGGCACTTCGGGCCACTTTCCATTTTCTGTGTTGAACCAGGTCCGCAAAGTGCCTCCCACAGTGACCAGACAGGGCGAGGCTTGCCTTTTGGCTCCAGAACTGAAAAAATGGGTGGACAGACCGAGCTGTGGGAGGGCGGCTAACCAAGGTCAGGGCCAGCCTGCGAGGAAGCCTTTCAGGAAGGGGGATTAGGAGGCTTTGAGTGCTTTTGTTAGGAGCAGTGGCAGAGGGAAGGTTACACGGCTGTGGCTGGGGAGAGGTGGGCAGAGGAAGCTGGGCCGCTGGCGCCCCGCACGGCAGCTCGTGTGTGACGGGTCGGCTGGGAGCTGGGAAGCAGGTGTGAGGTGGACTGTTTGAGACTTCGGAGCACTCGCGTGAAGAAAGGCAGTGACAAAGACTTTCCCTGCCCCCCAGGCAGGGAGACTGGCCTGCGCCGGCGTTCGAACTCCCTGGGGGACTGCTGAGTGTTCAGTCCTGGACGGTGCCAGGCCTGGCGCATGGAAGAGGCCAGGGTGCAAGTGAGGAGAAGCCCCCATGCTCCTGGGAGCCTTGGTGGGGACCAGGGGGAGGTGACTTCATGGCCAGCCGTTTTTGGCCAGAGCTGGTGGAAGGCCTGTGGCTGGGTGGACGGAAAATGTCTATTCAAGCCTTTTGCCCATTTTTGAACTGGGTTGACCACCTTTTGTCTGAGTTGTAGATCTTCACGTATTCTGGATTCGAGATCCTTATCCAGAGCTGGGTTGTGGACTTGCTCTGAGAGCTACACCCTCCCAGCCCCCCAGGGACCGCACCCTGTGGCTGGCCGAGTGAGGCCCAGGTTTATCTCTTGCCCCTTGGCTTGCTCCCTCTTCCTCACTCGCCCCGTGACCACCGCGTTTGAGGATCGGATTGGCTGGTGTCCTTGGCCAGGTGCAGGTGCTGGGCTCCAAGAGGCCTCTGCCAGCTGCCAGTGGGCAGGGAGGGATTCAGACCCATTGGCCACTGCCAGGCTGTCCCGAAAGCTGTGTGGAGCCAGCTCTTGTAGCTGCCCGATCGGGCGAAGGCTTGGTGGCAGTGCCGGTACGTGGACAGTGCCTGGGGGATTCTGTTGGCTTCTCGGGCAGAGGTGACCTGTGGTTCCAGGATGCAGGGACCCCAACTGTCCCCAGCATCTCCCAGCAGACATGGGCTGTCCAGCAGTTCAGGGGCCGGGATATTCAGAGGGGACACACACCGAGGCACAGCACACCTTGCCACCTCATGCTGGGACACCAAGGCCCCCAGAAGGTGGCCGCACAGCAAGATCGAGACTGACCCTGAAGCCAGAGCCCGTGCGGCAGCTGGGGCAGCAGGGCTCTGAGCCTGAGTCTCCCCTCCGACGGGCACAGTGCCTTTGCCCATGTTGCATACCCCCAGGGACAGGCAGCTCACCACCTCTGAAATAGCCTGTTCCCTGGGAGGCTTTGACAGGGCGCTGCAGCCAGACACCCTCTTTTATCTCTAGTCACGGAGAGACATAACTGCACCTCAAAGGCTGGTGTCCCAGGCCGGGTGCCTGTTCTCAGGATGGAGGCTGGGGACAGGCCTTAGGTGCTGGCTGATCCCCGGCCTCCCCGTGGGACTCAGTCTCTTCATCTGTAAAGGAGAGACGGCTGCCTCGGCTGGGCTGGCAGGAGGAACTTGGGGCCCGGCCGTGGGAGCCTTGGGACAGTTGAGCTGAGCGGTCACATCCTTCCAGACCAAGTTCGAAGGGGGCGTGAATTTCTGGGTCAGTCAGAGGAAAGAACCAGGCAGGACTCGGCCTTGGCCTGGCTGATTCAGTCGGGGCCCAACCTCGGCTGCCATCCTGGACACCGTCTTCGTGGGCCCGCCTGAGGCCCCCTGGCTGCTCTCTGGGCAGGAGGGGTGGGCGGTGAACGCTCTGAGACCGCAGGGTTTATCCCGAGGGTGCCCTGGGACCAGCCCCCGCTTTCGCTGGACTCAGTTTCCCCGTGTGTCACGGCGCTGGCTCCCCACCTCTGAGGACCTGTCTGCTCTGCCTGGCGGGCATCTGTCACCCTGAGCATGTGCTGACCCTGTCCCTGTCCCTCCCTGCCTACGGATTCAGCCTCAGCCTCCTCACTGGCCTTGCCGGCCCCCTCCTGCTGAGCAGCCATAGAGGCTTCTAGAAGGCACAGATGTCTTGACCAAGGGCATCCACCCCACCACACCCCCTCTCCCCTCTGTTCCCGCAGGGTCCGGCTGCTCCGTGGCCAGAAAGGGCGGCCCCTGCTTGGCCAGCTCGCGCTCTCATTGTTTTTTTCTTTCCTGTAAAACAAAATATAGAAAAGTACAAAAGATACTGTAACAAATAGCCGCCATCCCCCAAAAGCACGTTCAACATTTTATATTTCCTGCAGATCTTAAGAACCGAAACCCTTGAGACCCAGTCGGAGGCCTGCACGCTCCCCTCCCCTGGCCGCCCTGCCCCTCCTTTTTGCTCGGGCGTCCAGTCCACCTTGTCACCCTCCGCTACACCGACATGGGCGGTTCGGTTCGCCTGGGCGTGGCCAGGAAGCTGCTTTGATTTTTGGCATTATGTTTCTGTGACCTCTGGTGACACCTGCTCTTTATTTAGGCTGCTGGCAAAGAGCCCCATTCTGGGGAGGTCTCCCCAGAACCCCCCAGGTGGTGAACAGGCAGGTCTACCTGCCTCTGCACACCCACGGGCCATGCTCTTCCTAGTCCCCAAAGCAGAGGCCCAGGTCTTAGCCTGACCCTCGCGGGTGAATTTGCCCCTGTGTCACTGCCTGGGGGCTTCATGGATGGTGGAAAGAGGCCCAAGGGGAAGACAGCAGGACAAACAGTGAAAGTGGGAGTGGGGGGCCGAGGGAGGGTGAGCTCGCGTGCGGAGGCCTGGGCCGCGGGCGCCCCGCTCACCACGCTCTCTCCTGGTCCTGCCTGCAGCCAAGTACCCGGCCATCAAGGCGCTGATGCGGCCGGACCCTCATCTCAAGTGGACGGTGCTGGGGCTGGTGCTGGCGCAGCTGCTCGCCTGCTGGCTGGTGCGGGGGCTGGCGTGGCGCTGGCTGCTCTTCTGGGCCTACACCTTCGGCGGCTGCGTGAACCACTCGCTGACGCTGGCCATCCACGACATCTCGCACAACACGGCCTTCGGCAACGCCCACGCCGCCCACAACCGCTGGTTCGCCATCTTCGCCAACCTGCCGGTGGGCGTGCCCTACGCCGCCTCCTTCAAGAAGTACCACGTGGACCACCACCGCTACCTGGGCGGCGACGGGCTGGACGTGGACGTGCCCACGCGCCTCGAGGGCTGGCTCTTCTGCACGCCGGCCCGCAAGCTGCTCTGGCTGGTGCTGCAGCCCTTCTTCTACTCGCTGCGGCCGCTCTGCGTGAACCCCAAGGCCTTGACCCGCATGGAGGTGTTCAACGCGCTGGTCCAGCTGGCGGCCGATGCGGCCATCTTCGCCCTCTGGGGGCTCAAGCCCGTGGCCTATCTGCTGGCCAGCTCCCTGCTGGGCCTGGGTCTCCACCCCATCTCCGGCCACTTTGTGGCTGAGCACTACATGTTCCTGAAGGGCCACGAGACCTACTCCTACTACGGGCCCCTCAACTGGATCACCTTCAACGTGGGCTACCACGTGGAGCACCACGACTTCCCCAGCATCCCCGGCTGCAACCTGCCCCTGGTACGTGGCTGTGGTGGGCAAGGGGCGGGGCTGTCCGAGGGGGCGGGGAAGCGTGGCGGGCCTGGGGCCACGCTCCGGCCCCCCTTTCCTGATCACGGGGTGACCCCGTTCTCAGTTGTGGTCCCCAGGGCAAATGAAAGGCCACACAGCACAGGCCTTTATAGTTTAGACCGCTTGGTTTAATGAAAACTGGAAATGAGTGAGCCCGGCTGTGACGGGTACTGGCTGTGCATCCTTGGGCGAGCCACTTGCCCTCTCTGTGCTTCGGCTTCCTCCTCTGTAAAATGGGGCAGCGGTAGTGACAGTGCATGGGAAGCACCTCCCCTTCCTGGCTCCCGACTCCCTGTCACTGTCCCGTGACTTTCCAGGGCCCCCACAGGGCACAGAGAGGACATGGAGGGCTTTGCTGTTTATGACCCAAGGGGCTTGGCCTGAGCTGGTGCAGAGCAGAAGCCTCTAGGGCTGGTGGCCCTGTCTCGGGAGGCCTGGGGATGGAGGATTTCTGGAGGAGGGAGGGGAAGGAAGGGCGGGAGGAGTCCCAGTCTGCCAGTGGGTGGTTAGACCTGAGGTGCCCCGAGGCACAGGGGCCCGAGGATGCAGCAGTGAGGTCTTTCGTGTGTGCACGTGTCTGTGTGCCTGAGTGTGCCCCATGTGCACATGTATTTGTGCATGTGGTTGTGTGAGCGCTTGCCTGGTTGTGCAGGTGTTTGTGTCTGGCCTGTGTGACTGGAGTCCAGCAGCCCGTGTGTCCAGCGCCCGGCTCCCTCTTCCCTCCCCTCCCGCCTCCTCTCCTGCCAAAGGTACTAAGGTCCTGCCATGTGCTGGGCACCACTCTCCAAAGCCTCGCCACAAGCCGAGAAGGCAGATGTCCTCATTACCCATTACGCCCATTTCATGAAAGAGCCGGCAGAGGCTCAGGGAGGGGAGGGGCTTGCCTCAGGAAGGAGCAGAGCCAGAGTCTGCGCCCGCGTCCGTCACAGAAGCACTTTTACTTCTGAGCAAAGTGAATGGCCCCGCAGGTTGCCTTGTCTCCCCGAACCCCATCTTCAGTTATAAAGTAGGCCCTGGGCACTGGAGTGTCTTCTAGGGGGATAGTGCCCATGCAGGTGCTGAGGCTGGGAGCACTTCCTGGAGGAGGAGGACCGAGGGTGTCAGGTGCAGAGGCGGGTGAGAGCTGGAGGGGGAGGGGGTACAGGGTGGGCATTGGAGAGTGCCAAGTACTGAGGCTGGGAGGAGGGTGATCCGTGGGGGCGTGGTGGGAGCCAAGGCCAGAGGGGTTGGCGGGGTGGGGGGTGGGGCTTGGAGACAGGCGAGGGGGAGCATGGCCAGGACCATGGCTCGGCAGGAATCAAGCCAGGCTGTGCCTCAGACTCCGCAGGGGCAGGAGACCCCGGCCCACCTTGGGGCTCCTGTGTGGGCTCCGGGGAGCAGGGCGTATTCTTAACTTGGGGCTGGCAGTTCAGAGACTGTGCCAGCACTGGCTGGCCTCCTGCCTGGCTGAGGTGGGCACGGGTGCCCTGGGAGGTGACAGCGTGTGTGCGTGTGCGTCCATGCTCGTGTGTGTGTGTGTGTGTATCTGAATGCTCACGTACACGTGCACGGCAGTGGCCGGTCTGCGCAGGCGCGGCCCCTGACCCGCTCGCCTCCCTGCAGGTGCGGAAGATCGCGCCGGAGTACTACGACCACCTGCCGCAGCACCACTCGTGGGTGAAGGTGCTCTGGGATTTTGTGTTCGAGGACTCCCTAGGGCCCTACGCCAGGGTGAAGCGGGTGTGCAAGCTGGCAGAGGGCGGCCTGTGAGCCTGACTGCCTGGCACCCAGCATGCACGGACCCCGCTGCGCCCTGGCAGGCTGGCTGCTGGGCCTCACCCTGCCCCACCCACCTGCTGCAGAGCCGGTTGTCACCATGGCCCCCTCGGCCTAGCGCCCAGAACTGGTTTGACTGCATTTGGTTCCCGCACCCTCGGTGGCTGCTGCTGTCCCCTAGACCACCCAGGGACCACGCCTGGTGACAGCAGGCACAAGCAGCAGCCCGGAGAAGCTTGGTCTGCAGTGCACTCGCTCTGACCTCAGCCAGGCCCGCCCTTTCTGGGCCGGCGCCAGCCCTGCCTTGGGCGCTCTGTGCCGTCCACGCAGCTGCTCGCTCTAGTGTTCTTGTGTCTGAAATTAAATGTTTCCACATCCATGGACATGCTTCCGAGGGGGTGGTCTTGGCTCCAGCCTGGGCCTCAGACGAGGCCCTGGGATAGCCCCGGAGGGGGTCCCCCAGAGTCGTGCTCCGCCTGCTCCCTGCCCTTGAGGACCACTGTTGCTCCCACACTTTGGTGCTGAGGCAGCATCCCCCAAGGGCCCTGCCACTTGGGGAATAGCCTTTGGGGAGTGTAGGCAGCAGGAGGCCCTGCATGCCCTGGGGGTCCATGTGGCCAGAAGCCCCTCGTTACCAGCCTCCCCTCCTTTGCGCCTCTGGGCCAGGTGCTGCAGACATCACTTCCCCTTGGTCCACGTGCTCCTGCCACCTGTCCCCCCACCTGCCCAACTCCTGCTCTACCCTGAGCCTGCACCCCTGTGGGTGTGCTGAGCCCCCAGAAGGTTCAGGCTGGGCACCGTGGGTTGTCCCCCACAGCTCAGATGTGGGGCGAGTCTCACAGCACAGGGGCCACAGGCCAGAACATGGTGGCTGGACAGACAGGTGACTGCCCAAGTGAACTGTGGCTCCGAGAGAAAGGGAAGCAGGCAGGGGTCCTCGGTGTCTGTAAAGGGGAACAGGCTGTCCTGACCGTGGCAGGGGCTGGTGGCACTGCCGAGCCCGCGGGAGGCATCCCTCTCATCAGCCCCTCGGCGGCCCCACCCCCGGGCCCTAGGACTGCGGCACTCTGGGACCTGGGGACCTACGGAGGTGGAAGGCAGGCAGCTGGGACCCGGGCCAGCGCACAGGGGTCTGAGCCTCGGGCTGACCTCTGAATGGGCAGAGCCGTCCTGTCGTCGTCTCTGAGGGGCCCTGGGGCACGCAGCGGATGAAGTATGTCCAGAGCCTGGCCAGAAAGTCTCCTCATCAGCCAGACTGGGGTCCTCTCTCATGTCCCTTCCCATGGCCCTCAGGATGGCTGGGCCAGGGGCTGGGCACACTGCTGGCTGTGAGAAGGTCACAGGGTTCCAAGGCCTGCGCCACTGGCTGGGGCCTCACTCCTGGTCCAGGGGCAGCAGTGGCCCAGGCTAGAGTCGGGACCTCCCTGGCTACGATGGGTACTTGCTTGGTCTGAGAACGGCCGGCAAGAGCCTCAGGAGGGCTTTGGGCGTCCCTGCTGCCCAGGGGGTAGGGGCCCAGGTCCCCTCTGGGGGCGGAGTGGGGGGAAAGCCCGCCTTCTGATTCTATAGCCCCATCTGTGTCACGGCGGGTCAAACGGGGACCCTGTCCAGCCCTGGCGGCCAGAGCGCACGCGGACTCTGTTTGCTGTCCAGGGCGTAGGTGCCACTCAGGGCCTGCCCCCCAGTGCCCCGTGGGGGTGGCTCCCAGGCCTCCCCTGGACCTGGCTGGAAGGGCCTGCGCTGCCCAGCTCACTCTCTCTGTCCTTCCACGTCTGGATCTGGCCTGGTTCCCCACCCAAGGACCCCGTCTTGCTCCTGGCACCACGGTCATGGGCCTTTCTGCCCTGTGGCGTCCCCAGCCAGGAGCAACCGGAGCCGGCGTAGAGAGTGCGCGGGAGCCGAGCGTGTGGACAGTAAGCGTTTATTACCACGTGGACACAGACGGTGCGGGGCGTGGACGACCGCCACGCCAGGACGCTGGGGAGGGGCTGCGCATGGACACGCCACCGCCAGCCACGGCGGGCCAGCGTCACCGGGAGGAACCACCTAAGGAAGCGCGTGACCTGGGGCGTCTTCTCTATAAACCGAAGGAAACGTACACTTAAATAGGCAAATATAAAATACAAAAAAGGCGAGCGGACCTGGCGTTCTGTGTCAGGTAGGGTCTAAAAAAATCCGGGACTTGACCTTTTTCCTCATTTTAATATTTTATCACAGGTTAAGACTTTAAATGAAGCACGTCCTGGCCTCGGCGCGTGTCGCGTGTGCTGAGGCCCGGGCCGGCGGGGCCCCTCGCTGTCCCGGTGTCCGGAGGACTGCATCCTGGGTGGCGGGGCCGAGCGCACTACGAGGTGCTGATCCCACTCAGCTCCTGCCTGATGGCTGTGGGACAGGGCGCGAAGGTGGCTCAGGTGCAGCAGGGACCAGCCTGGCCTGCTCCTCTGCCCTCTGCACGGCCCTGTCCCCACGGCCCCGGCTCCGGTGAGGTCCTTACTGGTACCTGCCCCTCTCTGTCTCCTGAGGGCCCCACCCAGACCCCCAGAAGTCAGAGGCACAGGCTAGAGGCCAAGCAGGGCAGTGGGCTCTGGCACAGACTTTGGGGTGACAACTAAGCCCCTGTGGGTCTCAGCATCATTTCTCGAGCCAGTCCACTGAGGGTGGAGCTGGGGTAGGGGCGACCAACCCATGGACCTGGAGGTAGGGAGGGGCCAGTGGCACCAGGAGCCCTGCACAGGTCTGTAAAGGTGGGCATCCCGGAGCTGTTCAGAGGACCTGGGGACACCTCCCACCAGTGGCAGCAGGAAGTCCCTGGCCTTGAGCAGGTGGGCTGCTCCCTGACTCCCTGGCTGGAGGTCCGCCCCGAGGGCCAGGGGCTTCCTGTGCTCTTCTCCCCAGCTTCCTCCTGTCCCCACCCCTTAGGGTGTCCCCCCTAATTCTGGCCTTTCCCCGGATGGACCCCAGTAAGCCTAGAGCAAAAGGCCAGGAGAGAGCAGAGGGTGGGGCACACGTCAAGTAACAAGGGGTGTTTCTCAGAGCCCCGCAAACTGCCCACACCTCCGCACGGCTGCTTAGCCACATGCCTGCGAGGCAGCTTCCACCTGTGGCTGTTAGGAACAGACAGGAACCCAGTGCTCTCTGCTGGGACAGGGTATGACCCAGGTCTGCGGGCATCTCAGGCAGCTCCCTGCCACCAGCCCCCAGGTGTGACCTCGCCACCGTGCCCGATTCCTCGCCTATGGTGGGTGACGGAGGCGCCTCACCGCTCTATCCTGGGTTGAGCAAACCCTCCCTTTTCCCCTGGCTCCAGGTCTGAGGCGGCGTGTCAGAGGCCCTGCCCTCTGGAACCAGAGACTCTTTTGGGGGGTGGGGGGGCACCTGCCTGCTCCCCCAGCTCAGGGCCTGGCAGCCTGTGAACTAGGTCAGGCCCATAATAGTTCTGTAGCTTCTCGGTCCCCCTAACCCCTAGGAAGGCAGTAATCTCCCTTACGATCTCAAACCCAGTGGTCGGAGGTGGCAGAATCATAAAAGACAACTTGGTTCCAGAGACGCTGAAATGAACACAGGGCTGAGGCTGCCTGACCGCCCTCGGCTTTGGAACGCATCCCTGACCTCGGCCGCCCTCCCAGGTGGGCACTGCTGTGAACCCGGGGAGAAGCACGGGAGTGGGGGAGCACAATCCGCTGCCAGGGGGGTGCACACACTCGGGCAAGTCCCTCAGCTCGTCTGCGCCTCGGTTTCCTCAGCTGGAGAATGGGGAGGAGGACCGGAACCGGAGCACAAGGCCACGGGGCCCTGGCTCTGGGCCCCAGATGGCCTCCCCAGCTGGGTCACCCGGCCCGCTCCCCAACCGTGACGGGCCCCCGCTCACCGTCGATGATCTCCTCCTTCACCTTGTGGAGCTCCCGGACCACCTCCTCCAGGATCTCCTGCGGGGAGCAGGGCCTCAGGCACAGTGCAGGCTGGGGCGTCTCCAGGGGCGGGGGTCCTGGGCTTCATCCTCACCCTCGCCCACCCCCACAGCTCCCTCCCCAAGCCAGGATGGCGGGTGCACTGGAGATGGGGCACCCTGGCCAGCCCCGGGGGCCTCCCACGCCTCAGGTGCACACTGGAGGGGGGTGCGAGGAGCGGGGGGAGGTGCTTTGCTCTGGTGATGGCAGGGGCTGGGGACAAATGCTGTGACCCTCCTCCACAGCTGGCCCCCTGACTGACTAGGCAGCCACGTGGGCCTCAGTGGACCTGCCTGGCCACGTGGACCCAAGAGAGTCCCTGGCCTCTGGCTCCTTCACAGCCTCTCAGGAAAGGACACTCACCTGTTTCATCCGGTCCAAATCGAAGGCGTCCAGGGCCACGTCGTTTACACTTCCTGCCGGCTTCATCCTGGGAGGGGGATGGCAGGGTGCGGTAAAGTGGGTGGCGGGGCCGGCAGGCGCCCACGCACGGGGGCCCGGGTGCGGGAAGGCAGCCCGGGCGTGCCGCAGCCTCCCGCTCGGGCCCGGCACGGCCCTCTCCCCAGCGCCCTGTTGCTTCCTGCTTTTCTCTCCGGCCTCCCTTTAGCTAAGTGAAAAGGACCCTCAGGCCTGGTCTCCAGCTCCAGAGGGTCTCGTGGGTACTGTGACCACACTTCCCAACCCAAGAGCCAACCGCAGAGCTGCTTTCTGCTCTGCGGGCTCTCACACAGACACGCGCTTTGCTCTGGTGATGGCAGGGGCGGGGGACAAATGGTGACGCATGCAAGCAGACCGCTACGTGTCACACGCAGCCTCCCCTGGAGGAAGGCAACTCCGGCAAGCTAGTCCTCGGTGCGGGGTCTGTGCTCCTGGCCAGCCTGAGGCTTGGGAAGAATGAGTAACAACGGAATTCAATACAATGCAGAATCCAGAAAACACCACCGGAGATGCTCACCCTAGAGGCGCCCACTCCAGACACGAACCGAACCGGCCCGGAGCCTAACCTCTCCAGGGGACGCCCTCGGCCGCGGCTTTGCTTTGGCTCAGAGGTTTCAGTTTCACGGACTGCTTGCCTTGGAAAAGTTTCTGAACTAGGGCCAGAGGTTTGAAATTTAATGTCCCTTGCACACGAGCCCTTCCTGGGAGCTCTTGGCGAAGTGCTCACCTCACCACCTGCCTTTTTCAAACAGGACCGCGGTGCCTGCTTTCTGGGTCCGATTCCTCTCTCCCACGGCAGGGGCTGTGGGCGTGACGGCGGGTGCCAGCGCCACTGTACAGACCAGGGCCCCTGTGAACCCCAGGACCTGCGTGCTCCAGAGCGATGGAGGGTAAGCATGGAAACTACGGTGTGGGTGCAGCCGCCATGGAAACCAGCACGGAGGTTCCTTGAAAAATTAAAAACAGAACCACCGCATGGCCCGGCAGGCCCTCTCCTGGGTGTACGCCCGGAGGAGGTGCAATCACCGTCTCGAAGCGACATCTGCACCCCACGGTCACTGTCGCACTAGTCACGACAGTCGAGATGTGGAAGCAAGCTGAGTGTTCACGACGGATGCACGGAGAGAGCGGATGTGGCACGTGTGACAGGTTATGTGCACAGCCGCATATGCTGCCCCCGGGGCCCACGACGGCTCCTGAGGGCGTCACGCTGAGCAGAGTGAGGCAGAGACAAGTACTGTATGACCTCACACGTTTGTGGACTCGGACTAAACCAGATGTACAGAAATGGAATCCTGGGGGTTGCCAGCGCTACAGGGGCGGGGGTCAAAGGGCACGCACTCCCAGTGACAAGATGAACGCACCGGGGAACGTGATGTACAGCACGGGGCCCGCAGCAAACAAGACTGCACTGTATATTTGCACGGGGCTGAGAGGGGCTGTGGAAAGTTCTTACCCACCATGCGTGACTCTGTGAGGTGCTGGCTGTGTTAACTGACCTGACCGTGGCAATCACGTCACGATACATGTATATATCACGTCACCACGTTGTACCCCTCAAACTTAAACCAGGGGAGATGTCAATGATATCTCAATAAAGCTGAAAACCCCCACTGCATGGTACTGCATGGTATGTAAAAGGTTAGTGGTCCACCACACAAACAAACCAACCAGATGAACCCAAGAAAGAGGTTCAATGTGGCCCTGAATGCGTCTGTAAGTAATTTTGGGTCCCAATGGGGAAGGAGGTCCAGCCTGAGACCCCCAGCTCATCACACCTGTCCTGCACGCAGTCCCAGGTCACCTGGGCAAACTGCTTCACCTCTCTGCACCTCTCTGCACCCCCGACAGGCCCGATGGTGACGCCGACACACATGCTCCATGAGCTCAGCAATGCTGCGGCCCGAGGGGGGCCGTTCTCACTCGCCCTCTGGAGCCCGTGAAGCCAGAGAACAGATTTGCCTCCGAGATGAAGAGCTGCATTCCAGCAGGACGCTCTCGCCCTGGGAGGGACGCTTGGCGGCCCACTCCTAACGTGGCAGCGGGAAGTAGCCAGCTGTGCCGACAGAGCTGTAGGCTGGGCCCTCGGCCCCCTGTTCCACAGAGTGAGCGCCTCAAAGTGCTAGCCATCATGGGGCCCTGTGCTTAGAGCTCGCGGACTAGGGCGCGGCACACAGAAAACCCAAACTTCTCTCCACGTGGCCCTCCTGACCCCTCCACCTGCCCATCCACTGCCCGCCTGTCCCGCCACTGCCCGCCTGCCCCGCCACACCGGCCTGCTTTCTGGTCTCTGAATGCACCAGGCTGGTTACGGGCTCGGGGCCTCAGCACATCCACGCCTCCAGGTTACACGTCTGTCCCCAGAGGGCAGGCTCCTCCCCTTCCAGGTCGGCCCAGATGCCATCTCTGAGATGGGCCTGCCCAGCCTGCTCGCTAGGGTGCTTGTCCTCGGCGCACCCAGGGTCCCTCTCAGAAGCCAGTGATCCGACCCACAGGCCTTCACGCCAGAGAAAGGGGCTCCTCGCAGGCGGGGCCGTGCGGGACAGACCACAGGCCCCGCATGAATCCTGGCTGATCCGCTGAGACGGCCTCACCCCCGCTCCGCGTGTCTGTCTTTGCCACTCCTGCCAGGGCCAGGCCAGAGCGCTCTGCTCGTCCCCGTCACTCTGTGAGACCAGGCTGAAGTGCCACCTGCTCTGTGCTCACAGCTGTTTCCCTTCGGTTTGTGGTGGGCGATGGAGACACTTCCCGGCCCAGGTTCTAGAGGCCTGCAGATTCAGGCCACACGCGACTTACAGTTCCTACGTGGCTGTTTGTCTCTGACGTCTGGGGCAACCTCGGGTTCACATATCCTACCCGGCGACCGCGGCAGCTTTTGGTTCGGACATGCGGTCGGCGCCCCTCTGGGGAGCGCTGGCTGCGTGCGGGGGAGGGGCGGAGGTGGCATGGTGGCTGTCCGGCGTTAGCAGCGCGGTGGGATGCGGCTGAGGCTAGGGAGCACCTCCTGTGCCCACATGTCCACACGACCGCCCGTGAGGCAGGGGCTGCAAGACCTCTTCACGGGGTGTGGCGTGGAGGCTTGGAGAGGGCACCGGGATTGCCCAATGACACAAACAGCCAGTCCAGGACTAGGACTGGATCTCCGGGCGGCCCCCCCCAGACCTCAGCTCTGCCTCCGAGAGGAGGAAGGAGCGGCCTGCACGGCCCGAGGTCCCCCAGGTCTACCTGTCCCCGGCTCTGATCACCCTTTCCCAGAGCAGGCTGTTAGATGACAAGACAAAGGACAGGGTCCGGGGTTAGTCACGGGCAGGGGACAAAGGAGGCCCCACGACGGGGCTGTTCGGTACCTAGAGTGAGGCTGCGACTGAAGGGGGCTCTTAGCTTCGGGGCTCTTTGCCACAGACGGGGTTCTACGGCAACGGAATGAAGCAGACACGTGAATCGGGGCTGCTGCCACCCTGGCCCCACCAGAGGCGCCCGGCCCTCACGGGGCGCTCACCTGGACAGCAGCGAGGACACGGGTTTCTCCACCGAGTTGCTCCGCTCCCAGGGCTTCCGGCCAGCCTCTGTCAGTTCATTTCAAGGACGAAGAGCCTCAGGGCTGGGAGGGCCCCCCACCTCCGCCCCCGCCCCGGCAGGACCCCCAGTACTGCAGACGCAGAGCCCGTCGGGAAGGCCTGCTCCGCGTGGAGCTGAAGCCAGGGCTGTAGATGGCACTGCTGTCGCCCCGTGTCACCCTCACTCAGGACACCAGCTCTTGTTCCTCGGACCCAGCTGACTTTGACTTGTGGCCTAGCCTCAAGTCATCTCATTAAGAAAAGTCCACTTTCCTTGGAATGTGAAGTGACCGGTCACAGAACATGACTTCTAGAGTCGGCCAGCGACTCCAGTAGTGGGCCGAGCAGGCAGAGGCAGGCCCTCACCCTGGACACTCCCAGTCAGCCCGAGGGCCACGTCTGCTTCTGGGGGCCCTGCCCCTGGGACCCCATGTGTACCCACTGTCCCCTGATTCATTGGTCCTCCCCACACATGACAGCTGGCCTCTTTCCACCCTGGGCTTGAGGATTGGTTTGCCTTTCTTTTTTCTCTTTTAAGTTAAGTGGCATTAAATTTTATTTCATTTTCTTTCAAGAGCTTTGTTGAACTGAACTGAATCCACTGACTTTGCAGGATGAGCAGAGAGGCAGCAGGCCAAGTCCCCAGGGCAGCAGGGAGGCCACCCGTCCCCAGCTGAGCCCAGAAACTCTGCAGACCGACCGACCGAGGGCCGAGGCAGGTCTCACAGCCACCCTCTGGGCCTGCAGGAACAAGCGCTGGGACATCTGAGCTGTAGGCACGTGGCCTTGACTAAAACCACCTAACCACACCGAACTCTGACCTCCAGGACTGGGAAGACACCTAACCCATGCTCTGGGACGGGCGCCGCCCACTGTCACTACGGGCCTGAGTGCGGGAGGACACAGAGCAGGTGGGCAAGGGAGGCGGGCACACCAGCAGAGTGCGGGGGCCAGGCCACTGTGGGGTGGGGCCTCCCTCTGCTGGGGTGGGTGCTCTTCCTACCTCTCCTTCCTGCCCCGAGCAGACGCTGAACAAACGCCTGTGCGGTGACCGAGTGACCAGTGCCAGGCTTCTTCCCCCTGCACAGCCTCCAGTCGCTCTGGTCACACCCCGTGTCCCAGCGCTCAGGCCGGGGGGTTCTGAGCAGGGGTCGGGACTGTTTCTGGTGGAGCCAGACTCACTGGTGACCAATGTCACGTCATTTTGCAGGGAGACATTGACGTGACTTTTAAACACTCCTCTTTAAACACTCCGTCCAGCCCTGGCCCGAGCCCCAGGCCATCTCCTGCTACTTGACAGGTGCTGGGAAAGGAGGGCTGGACGGGTGGACGCCGCAGCGTGACCAGCTCCAGTGACAGGCCAGGGCCTGGGTGCCACGCTTCTGGGCTCCTGCTGGGGCTCGGTGTGGACGCCACAGCTGAAGCCCCAGGCTCGAGGGGGCAGGGGCTCACCGGGGCAGCGGCTCCCGTGAAGGTGGCAGGGAGACCCGGCCGGCGGAGCCCATCTGGCCGTCTCTGCTCATCCGCAAAGTGAGGCACTGGGATCAGACCAGCTTCCTGTCGGAGCCCCTGCCCTCTGAGACCGGCCGGCAGCGGGCAGGACGGCGCCCCTTACCTGAGGAGTTGGGTGGCTGGCTGGCTGCTCGGGTCCCTGGCGATGGAGAGGTGCTCGGCTCTTCCTGAAACGGGAAGCGGGGCCATCAGCCTGCTGCGAGGCTGGGGTGAGACCCCTCTGGCCAGGGTCATCTATGAAGCCTCGGTTTTCAAAACTTTGAGGAATCTGCTACTTTCATAATCAGCAAAACAACGAGTATTACTAACAAAGGGAACCCCCAAATCCTGGCAGGCAGCTGGTCTGGCCCATGGAGATCAGGGTAGGGGAGGGCAGTAGGGGTACACAGGCCCCTGCCCAGTAGGGCAGACCCCATGGCTGCGCCAACCCTGGCCCGTGACTGAGCCTGCCGGGCACCGACGGTCACGCGTCTCGTGACCACGACAAACGGGCCGCGCCCCCGGGGTGCCCGGCGAACCCCCAAATCCTGGCAGGCAGCTGGTCTGGCCCATGGAGATCAGGGTAGGGGAGGGCAGTAGGGGTACACAGGCCCCTGCCCAGTAGGGCAGACCCCATGGCCGGGCCAACCCTGGCCCGTGACTGAGCCTGCCGGGCACCGACGGTCACGCGCCTCGTGACCATGACAAACGGGCCGCGCCCCCAGGGTGCTCGGCACCGTCGCGGCCCTCGGGGCTCAGCAGGGGCTTCTGCCCCGTGGTTTGCTGTGACGGGGCCAGCCAGGCGGGACCCACCCACGGGGCTTCCCCTTTCCAGGCGTGGCCCCCGCCTCCGACGGCCGGCGTGAGAACCGGAGGGTGCTGTGCCGGGCTGCCTGTGGGCTCTGGGTCAGGTTCTGGTCGGCACTGTGGGTCAGGGCTGGCCACGGCACAGCCTCCATCCTGGCGACCCGGCTATGGGAGACCCGGGCCCACTTCACTGCTTCAGGAGGGGAGGAAGTGGCGAGAACCTATTCTAACGTTACCTCTGTCCCAACCAGCCCACAGGTCACCAACACTGCTACCAAAGCGAGTTCTAGAATGTAGGTCTGCCTCACTAACCCGATAAAAGCACCTGACGGCTCGTGGGAGGCAGCCTGACCTGCGGGCAAGGCACAGCCGCCCCTGCTAGGCCGCACCGCCCCGGGCCACGCTGCCCCCCGCGGCCTCTGCTCTCGGCTCTGCCCTGCGAACGCCCGCTCTCGCAGGAGCTCCCGGCGAGGCTGGGACTCCTCCCTCAGCTGCCAGGGCCTGGTGCTCCTTCACTTTCTCTGCCAACAGCCTGCCTGCTGTGTCCTCTCCCTCAAGGTCAGAGGCCACGTCCTGTCCGTCGCTGGGTCCCCAGCATGCGCACGTGGCCTGGCCCATGGCGGGGCTCCACACCGCCCTCCCCTGCCGGCGTGCTGTGGGGGCATCGGTGGAACCGGCCTGTGGCCAGCAAGTGGCAGAGTGCCCGCCCGAGCCGTCTAACTCTACGTGACTCCATACTCGGGGTTCTTTGCTTCTTTTCAATGACGCTCGTTTGTTCTCCCGTGGTTATAACCCTAGTCCGCGCTCAGTGAGGAGAATTTGGAAAATGCCGGGAAGTATGAGAGAAGAGCAGCCGTCAGCGCCGCGCGCACACCACTCCCCTGCGCGGCCTGGCCTGGCCCTGCCCTGGGGGAGGCAGTCGGGGTGTGGGGGGGCTGCAGACCGCGCGTGGGACCCAGGCAGACGGAACTAGCGGTGGCCAGGAGCCCAGTGGAGAAGGGACGAAAAAGGGGGTCAGAGGCAGGAAGCTCCGCCTGTGGGGCTGAAGGGTTCTCGAGTCCCTGGGATTTGAAACCCACTTTTTCTGGGTGCCGGGTGGGGAGTTGGGTGTTTGGGGCCGGGACGGTGACGCACCAGTACCACTGACTTGAGAGCTCTAATGCCACCGGCCAAAACGAGGCCACGCTTTGTGTTACCTGGGACTGGCCTGGGCTCCTGGCCAGGCAGGCCTCTGCAGCTTTAGAAGTTTCTGGATGAAGCACTCGGTGCAAAAGGCAGGGGACAGTGGAATACGCAGGCCTGGCCCTCACAGGGCTTAGGACCCGGCAGGACAGCGAGTCTGAAGGAGCAACCATGTGTGTGCCAAGGGCCGGAGAGGCACGTGTGGGGGGCTAGGGACCAGGCGTGGGAGCCTCACCCAGCTTGGTGTCTGGGAGGCTGTTTCTCAGGAAGTAATGTTTACGTAGAGAAAGGCAGGCTGAGGAGTTGGTGGGGGAGCCAAGGAGACTGCATGCCCCAGACGTGGGCATCAGACGACAGACGGGAAAAGCGGCTGGCAGGGCCGGAGCCCAGGGCTCGCTCACGCGGGGTCAGCCTCACCCTGCTGACGGGGGACATGAAGTCAGCAAGTGCATGCTGCTCGCTGTCTGGAGACTGCATTTCTTCTGTCTCCTTCTGCCACTTACAGGCAACCTGTAGGCCATCCGGAGTTAAGGTCTAAACTGGCCACTTCGACGAGAGTCTGTTTTTATAAGAGAAGCTTAATGCAGAGGAAAAGAGAAACGAGGCTCCCTAAGTGGGTGCAGATGCTTCAGGCCTGTGCGGCCGGACTGGGCTCCAGGATGCCGAAGAGGGCGAGAGCCAGAGCTCCGGCCCCCGCTCCGCTTCTGCAGCTCCTGCCAGAATCGACGAACCCAAGTGGAGTCTTTAAGCACAGAAGTAACTTGAAGACAAACCACGCCGGCCTTCCAGCAGACGTCTCCTGCTGCGAGTGCACGCCAGCCCCCAAGGCCCCAAGTGCCTTGAGGCGGCTGGGACCTGTCCTGGGACCTGTCCGAGAAGCCCTTCTGTGCCCCCAGGCTCTGGGATTCTCCCTCAGGCATCATCTGCCTTTCAGCCGAGTCCCCTCCCGGCTGCGAGCTCCATAACTGGGCAGTGTCTGCTAGACGCCCAGTGAGTGCGGGCCTGCCACCCTTGCTGTGGGGATGGACGTGAGCACTCCATGGGCCCTGCCGTCCCCGACCGCACCCCTCCACAAATCCCCTGGTCAAGAAGTTCCTGTCCCGTGTATGGCCTAACCAGGTGCACCTCGGAGCCCCGGAGCCTTCCTGGACTATTCGCACTGGTGGGGTGGGAGGGGTGGGGTTCGCTCACCGTTTGGCTTTCGTCTTCCTTTTTCTCAGCCGGCTTGTCTGTCTGGGAGGCTGCTTTTCTCCTAACATAGGAAGAAGAACATACAAATCAGCCCCTGAACGTTTCTGCACCGCTCCAGATGCCTCCTCTGTGCCGGACACAGCCTGGTCCTCAGACAACCCTGTGGTGGGACTTGACCCGTTTCATGTGAAGGAGGCAACTTGTCCCCGCACCCATCTGGGCTGCGGCAATGCTGGAACCAGCATCCGGGCCTTCTGTGCTGGTTCCATGAGCCTGGACACAAAACTGGCCTGGAAGGCAGGGATGGGGTCTGGGGGACGTGGCTGTCTCTGTCCGTAGCACCCGAGGCTGGAGGAAGTTGGTCTGCACCATGTCTGGGTCCCTTGGGGGCCTGGGTTTGCCTGGGTGGCAGCCATTCTTCCAGGGCACTCAAGGCCAGGCCGCACGGGACAGAGAAAGGTGCCCCCTGGGCCGTAACCTGCCAGTCAGGGCTGTGGGAGCACTCACCTGCTGACTTGACTACTGAGTGGACCCCATCACCTATGGGAGGAAGAAGACCCCTTTTCCTATTGCCCCGGAGTCTGGAACACCACTGAGAGCCTGGAAGCGCTCAGGGGACAGACTCTGAATGGCCCAAATTGATGCCCCAGTCCGTTCTTGCATTTTCCCCACAGACATGAATCTCATTTTAATACCCTAAAAACTCACTCCTGGTTTTTTTTTCAACTTTAGTGGTCATCTCTCTCTGGCTAAGCCCCCAATCTCCACATGGGGACCCTAATACTCCCCAAACACACGCCTCTGGGCATCTTCAATGCCGTGATGCCACCAGCGCACGTAAGCCTCGTGAGCTGAGCTGCCCAAGAAGGAAGCTGGCCTGACTGGTGAGTGGTCAGCGGCTGTCGGCCGGCGGTCACCAGTCGGGTGACGGGGCCCATGTGGTAGCCTCTTAGCCACTTGGGCTCCTTCTGGTCTTCCCATCTCGGGGGGACAAGTCTACCCGCCCATGGCCCCTCCCAGACACCCGCTTCTTCCTCACAGAAGGGGGGCCGTTTCCACCTCTGCACTGTATTTCGAGTCTGTCTTTCCCGCCCTCACTTCCGACGCCTAGTGCCAGCCACCATCCTCTCTTCCTGGATGACAGCAGACTCCGCACTGGCCCACCCACTGCCACTTTGCCCCATGACATGCTACTCCTAGCCAGAGCCACTGTTCCACCTTTAAGAATAGGAAGCAGGCCAGACCATGCCTGGCCCGTGAAGTCAGGGAGCCCGCGTGTGAGAGGGGTCAGCACGCGGCGGCCTCAGCACTGACTTTCCGGCCTGGACGCCACTGCGGGGGAAAAACTCAAGCGCAGCCCACAGAGGGAGGAGGCAGAACGTCCGCAATAACCTGCATTAACAGTAGCCGGCGAGGCCATCCTGGCCGTCGACGCCACCCCGCGCCCATCACCAGGGTGGACGTCACGGGGCGGCTGGGTGGACTCTTGCTGCCTCGTGCAGCGTGCCTGTCCCTGGTAGGGCCTCGACTCTGCCGGCAGCGCCGGGGCGTCCCACCGGCTCCTGGCAACACCGGGCTCCCGTTCTCCCGAAGTTCCTCTCCGTTTGGTCTCAGCCGTCTGGGCCAGGCCGTTACTGTTAGCGTGCTGGTTTTGGACTTGGGCAAAGCGTGAAGGTTTTCTTTTTGAAAAACATGCTCTCCTTTTCCACGAGGCCCCGTCCACCTCTGAGATGGAATCCAACGCGCTCGCGCTCGCGCACGAGCCGCGTCTGCAGCCTGACTTACGGTCGGTCTCCGCACGGCCAGCAGCGGGCGTCTGGGCCGTCCCAGGCAGCTTCACGCCACC